ATCAGACGCAGTCTGTAACGGCATCTGTGCGTTTCTAAATCAAACTACTAGCGTTAGCGTTTTCCTTACAAATTAAGTTTTTTTCATTGCATACTGTGTAATACTGATACTACTACTAATAATATTAAATAGTGTATAATAATAATGATGATAATGAACGGTCGTGAATATTTAAATGCACACTCTATACACACAAATTAAAATAGGTGTTCTGTCAGAATTTATGACATAAATCTCATCTTTCACTAAACGTACATTACATGAGCTAGACTTTCTCAGCTCTGTTACTAAATTGCAGAGATCAGAGCGTGATTTGTTCGTGTAGTGTTTATTTTCTGATTTACTATGTGGGTTCAGATGGGTGCTCCCAGTCCCAGCCTTAATACGCTGCTGTACATGTCTAATTTTATATATTAATGTGTTTAGGGGCCATTTGTAATATTTCATAAATTCATAGGGATTAGAAACCTACCTAGGTGTGAAAAAATCCATTTGAAAACTCCTAAGATGTTTATTTATTTAAAAATCAAATACTAATTCAAAATACAAAACAATGCTCTTTTTTTCCATAAGATGTACTGATAAGTAGTGAAATATAGTGATGTTTCCATCTCCCCGGTCAGGCTGTTCCTGTGTGGGCTCTTTCCCTCCCGCTGCCTGCCATCATCATGATCACTGTGGGGCTCTATATGATTTTCCTTGCGGCTGTGCTGTGGTGTCATCACTGTCTCAAGGTACTTCAGCATCATCACTTCCTCTTTCTGAGGAAACTTTATAAAACTTTTCTGTGAGCCAAATTCAAATAGAACAATCTTCTAGAATCAATACCTATGGCTGTTGCTATACAGTAGTCTGTCTGTCTCAGATGTAGCCTGATTTGTCACAGCTTCCTTGTTCCGAAAGGCAGTTTAAATCTCACTTCCCACTGTTCTCACTTCTCTCGTTTGGGTCATTTTTGCATTGTGTAACAGCTCTCTGACTTTGCAGGCCAAGTGTGATCCTCGGTGTTCAGATTGCTGCGCAAGTTTCTCTCCTTGTGAGTACTGTTTAGTGTGTGCCCAGTCATGTGACTGCCGTGCACCATCTCTGCAATCCTGTCTGGACTATTCCTGCCCCTCCCCTAATGTAAGTCACACGTTGATTGTCTATTCCTGTTTTAAGCTGAATACACTCTGTACGCCACAGTTTTGCCAAGTAAGACTGAAGTCTTTGATCCCATGGTGTGATATACTCTACAATAAGATTTCGTTTGTTAACATTAGTTAATGCATAAGTTAACATGAACTATGAGAATTATATTATTCTCATTTTTTTGACCTTCGTTAATGTTAGTTAATAAAAATACAATTGTTCATTCTTTGTTCTCGGTTAGTTCACATTGCATTTATGTTAATAGATAAAACTGTTGATTTATATAATAACATTAACTAAAATGAATAAATGCTGTAGAAGTGTTGTTTATTTTTAGTTCATGTTAACTAAAGAACATTTATTGTAAAGCGTTACCAATGCCCAATGTTGGGGAAAGTTACTTTTAAAAGTAATGCATTACAATATTACGTTACTCCATTAAAAAAAAAAAATCTTATGGTGTTAGTTACTTTTTATGGAAAGTAATGCATTACATTACTTTTGCGTTACTTTTTGCCACCTGGGTTGGACTTGCTTATTTGTTTTTGTTTTTTTACAACAGAAACCTCAAAAGTTATATTTTTGGCAACTGTAAGGGCCTTTTTACACCAAAAGTGAAATTAATAAGCCTCAGGCTAAAGGAAGTGCCTCTGGTCTGTGATTTCTCTCAACACAGGGACAGGAGAGGTGTCCGTGAATAAATGGGAAAACAAAGTAACTTGCGTTACTTATTTGAAAAAGTAACTCAGATATTTTGTTGTAAATTTAAAAGTAATGTGTTACTTTACTAGTTACTTAAAAGGTAATCTGATTACATAATTTGTGTTACTTGTTATGTGTTACCCTCAAGACTGCCTTTGTAACTAATCTTAACATTATGATGGTATTATCAAATAACTTTATCATCAAAGAACTCGAGTGTTTTGGTTTTTTCTAAATAATAAACAGTTCACAAAATCCTGCCTATCCATGCCTATAAATATGAATAGAACTGGTATAAACCTGTTTTTTCTTGATCTTGTTTAATGTAGTGTGCGATGTGGGATTGTGCCTGTACCTGTCAGCCTCCAGAGTGTGACTCCATCAACTGCTTCTGCTTTGAGATCAAGTTTAAGTAGAAGGGTGGATGGGAAGAAAAAGATCCTCCTCGTTTTAAAAGATGCCTTAGAAGCTCCAACTCCAAGTGACACTTAAGTATGTTTTAAGCTCTAGAGAAATTGTGATTCAGTCTTTGGCTGTTCTGTAAAGTTTGCATAATTTCTGAGACATTACCGCATCCTTCCTATTTATGATAACTAAAATAAAGATTAAGATGTGCATCTATTGGGAATATACACTGAAAAAAATGTTTGCCCTTAGGGCAAGTTATTTATTTTTCATTGGCTCAAGTTAACAAATATAGATGTGAATCATTACCCTACATTTTTTTAATTGGATGAATGAAACATTTTTTCAGTGTACATTGTTTAATTGAATCATGTATGACTATTTTTCTCATGCTTAATAAAACAGCATAAATATTATTAAAGCATTATTAAAAATGGTTATTGGACATATTTCATTCATATCGGGATGAATGAGATCATTCATACCAGGTTTCCAAACAGCTGTAATTCCTGAAGTACACAAGCATTACAGAACAATAAGACTGAGGTGAAAGTAAAGGTTTTATGTTGATGAATTTGTAGCATATGGCTTTAAGAAGTGCCATGAACTTTTAAAACATTACGTTTAGCCGATTTTTACATTTTAAGCACAAAAAGTCCTATTAACTTATTGTGACTTTTTACATTTGTGTACTTTTTTGTTGTTTATTTTTTTCTAGTTTTCCAGTCAGCAATAATAGCCAGTGTGTTTCTCTTTGGCATCGTTGTGTTTGGACATTTGTAAGATGGACATTTGTGCTTCATACAAAGAGAAGTTAGGAATCTATAAACCATATATGCTGTTCAGTGTATCTCATGCTGACACAGATGCCTTTGAAATGTCTGGACTATATGCTCACCTATATTTATATGAGATACACTTTGATATACATATAGTTCTGACTGACCATTTTCAGATTAAATTTTTGATTAGATTTCTTTTGTGATACACTATAATACTGTAAAAGTGTAACAAAATAATTTCCTATTTTTACTAATCTAATTGTTTACAGGACATCATCTCGGTTGTTACATAAGAAATATGATCTAACTATGTGTGCGTATTGTATTATGTGAAATGTGATACAGTAAGGTATGTGGCCATATTTTGAATGCTTACAGCCAACACACTATGGCTTACAAAGTAAACCTGACTCTTATTGATGGTCCCTCTGTTGCCTGGCAAAACTCTTTATTTTATTTTATTATTATTATTTTTTTTTTTGTAATTTTTTTATAAATATGTGCTATTTTTTGTAAATGGTTTTGATTAGATTTCTTTTGTGATACACTATAATACTGTAAAAGTGTAACAAAATAATTTCCTATTTTTACTAATCTAATTGTTTACAGGACATCATCTCGGTTGTTACATAAGAAATATGATCTAACTATGTGTGCGTATTGTATTATGTGAAATGTGATACAATAAGGTATGTGGCCATATTTTGAATGCTTACAGCCAACACACTATGGCTTACAAAGTAAACCTGACTCAGTCACTTCTTATTGATGGTCCCTCTGTTGCCTGGCAAAACTCTTTATTTTATTTTATTATTATTTTATTTTATTTTTTTGTAATTTTTTTATAAATATGTGCTATTTTTTGTAAATGGGTTATTTTTTTAAATGAATTAAGTGTTTTATGAGGCTTTGTTTACCGTAAAATTATTATCTGTCGAGCATTGGTGGTGAGATATTAAAAAATTTACTTTACATTCTTTGTTGGATTGTCCTGGATTTTCTGCTTTGTCTATGAAACATGCAATTTTAAAAATGTTCAATTTATTTGTTGGAAGTTTCTACACTTTTCTATAAAGGCTTTCTATGTTCTATTTTCATGTAGCTCTTGCTGATTACAGCGATTATGTAGAGAAGATGTTTGAGAGATGAAAGGTCATGACAGAAGATCTCATTACAGTAGATCCCTTTTCTGATGACAGTAATCTCATAGATAGAGGAGGTTTATAGGGAGTGCATGGAGTAACATCAGAGAACATAATGCAGAAGTTTCATTCCGATTATTGCAGTCATCTGTAGACCACCAGCCCCCCTTTGCATCATTATTTAATAGGGATTGCATTAATGCATGCTGTAATTCATGCATGTAGCAACATTAATAATCATATACCATGTCTATGCCACTCACAGCCTTTCTCTTTAACCTTTCTTTGCTGCATGCCAGTGTGTATGAATGTCACATCGCCCTTCTCCGGTTGCATCGTGGGTTTGCCTGCTACTAAGATTAGCCAAACCCACGGAATGTCAAAGGTCACTTTGTCTGAATAAATACAGGTCATCTGGCACTAGACAGATGTCACAGACTATCCAGACCTCCTCTGCCTTCATTTGGGGAGTATCTCTTGCTCACTTCATCCAAAAACACGGTAAAAATGTGCATGCTCTTTTCTTTTATTCTGTAACACAAAAATGTAAATAGCAGAAATACGGTACTTGTGTACTATATTATAAGATTATTTTATTTTGTAGGCTTTACTTTTTTATTTGCTTTTATTTAAAGGCATTTGCTCAAATTATTTTCTACTGTTGCATGATTTTGTTTTTATTTCAAATATTAATATCAAATATTAATATTATTTAATAAATATACACAGAACACACACACATATTATGCAAACAAAAACTTATTTTGTGTGCGATTAATCGCGATTAATCGTTTGACCGCACTAATTAATTTGTAATAAAAATAATTTCACATAATTTCATCCTCTTTCTCTTCAGCATGGCATTGTGCCCATCGTGGAGCCTGAGATTCTGCCTGATGGTGACCATGACCTGAAGAGGTGCCAGTATGTGACCGAGAAGGTTCTGGCTGCCATGTACAAGGCCCTGTCAGACCACCATGTGTACTTGGAGGGCACTCTGCTCAAACCCAACATGGTGACCGCTGGGCATTCGTGTTCCCAGAAGAACACCCCTCAGGAGGTCGCCATGGCCACTGTCACAGCTCTTCGCCGCACCGTTCCTCCCGCTGTGCCTGGTTAGTAAAGTGACCGCAATTACTCACTCAGTCATGACAGAGTCTTTATCTTATCACAGGCCTGCTTGATAAATTCTTAAGCATGTAATTATCATCACCTCATACCACACCCCTTTCTCGATGTAGGTGTCACCTTCCTGTCTGGAGGCCAGAGTGAGGAGGAGGCCTCACTCAACCTGAATGCCATTAACCAGTGTCCCCTGAACAAGCCCTGGGCCCTGACCTTCTCCTATGGTCGTGCGCTGCAGGCCTCTGCCCTCAAAGCCTGGGGTGGCAAGAAGGAGAATGGCAAGGCCTGCCAGGAGGAGTTCGTAAAGAGAGCTCTTGTAAGTTTATTAACTTGAGATCATCTACTGGATACTGATCTGGTTATGTGAAAATCCTAGTTTTGTAACCAGATTTTCTCTAATTGCAGTACAAACAAAAAAACACTTTTTATTTTCTAATTAATTTTAGAATTATAATTAATGTTCTTTTTTTTATTATTTATTATAAATGGTGTATGTATACATATAAATGTCTTTTTAATTTATCATGTCTGTATATGTTATACAATATTTTTTATTATTTTATATAAACATGTATTGTTCATTTATTTTTATTTTGTGCTTATTACATAGAATTTTTTTTTTTTTTTTGAGATTCTTGATTGTAAGACATGGAGTATTTTGTTCAGGAGGATTAGCATTTCATATGTGAACATTTTAAAACAACTGTTTGGTCTTGTTGTGTTTCTATCTCCAGAACAACAGCCTGGCCTGTGTTGGGAAGTATGTGTCCGCAGGAGATAAGGGTTCTGCTGCTGGAGAGTCTCTCTTTGTGGCCAACCATGCCTACTAATCACCAGGAAGCCTTTTCCATTTCAATCCTCATCATATTCCTAAAGAATTAATGAACCCCAACGCATCTATACTCTGAACTCATTATTTGACCCATTCCCTTTTTCTTTCTAGTGTTTGTTACTTTTCCATGTGTGAAAACAAAACCATGAAACTAAGAGATCATACGTTTTTGCCCTAATCTCCTCCCTCTTCCTTCTTTTAATAGCACTCCAATGTATTGTAATGTTTACCTCTTTAGAGAAATGTTGCTCTTGTACTTGTAGTACTTATAATAACTGTATTTGACTTGCACAAAGCACATATACCTTTCAGGGGTATATTATTGTTGTTATTGTTTAATATGATACACACTGGGGGAAAAAAACATTAAAGTATCTTTCACTGCTAACCTAATTTTTGTTTCTTTCATGCTGTTATACAGACAACACATCATTGTGAGGTTTTGTGTTGGAACATTTCTCTGAATATTTGTCTATTCATCTTTATGAACCTTGTGAACCAACCCAGATGCAAGAATGTCAATTTATTGGATGATTATCATCCTGAGAAGAATCTCTGCTGCTTTACAATTTTCAATTGCAAGATTTATTATCAGTAAGCTGTTTTGTAATCGTCAAGGACGCTTGAGAAACTCTGCTTTCTGAAATATTGAAATCTCTATAAATATTGTTTCAAACAAATGGTTCAGGGTGAATATTAAACTGGCCAAAGCATGTGATTTCAGTGAATGAGACTTAAGTTACGTCACACTGTTTTAAACCTTTCACACTTTCTCAACACCCTGTAGACTGACATTATCTAGTATTTTTTAAATGTTTTTTGCTCAGTTTATTGGCAGCTGGCAGTAGATGTATGGCCTGAGTTCATGACAAGGAGCTCATAGTGGTTTCAGAAGTGACACATTACTTGCAGAAGCCTTTATGTCAGTGTAATGCATGAAAACTCCACAAGGAAACATGCAATATGAATATAAATTGAACATAAATATATTTTATTACAAATTAATAAATTCGTACAATTTTTCTTATAAATCAAGTAAATTTGCAAGAAAATCTTTTTATATTTTCTTGTAAATTTAGAACATTTGTAAGATCATTTTCTGTTTTGTAAATATTCTTAGAAATCAATAAATTTTTCTTGAAAATCTTTAATTACACCAAATACACCAAATAATGTTCTTTTTAGCAACATCACATGACCCTTTTAACTCATCACTGAGCAGAAACTCCGGCATTTTGAGCAGTGAGGGGATTCTAAATTAAATACCTCTGATTGGTCATTGCATTCAAGAGATCATCAAATATTTAAAATTGGCTTTTTTTATGTTTATGTTTACTCATGTTTTAATTTTTGTAACAAAAAATTATTTGTGATTAAACATTAATTTGCGGACCCCTGGTTGAAGACGGGATACAAAAGCCAAAGCATCCTGATGCATTTCTGAAGACTGTCCAGCAGATGGAGACAGTGATGTTGATAATAGAAATGGGCAGAAGTGTTTAGTTAGATTCTATATTAATATTATTTAGTACTATGAATAGTTGGCTAAACATCTATGGTGGTGAATGGGACATTACAGCAAAAATTATTTTTGCATTCCCATTTGCTCCAACAGCAAAACAAAAACATTCATGATAGCGTTTACACAACTTTCCAAAGGATTTTACTGTCACTCTCTCAGCTTTTGTATTAGAAACACCCTTGCTGAAGTGTTAACTATAACTAGTTATTATTATTAATATTAAATTATTACTGCTATTGTTATTTAATCCTAAAGGCTATGCAACACAAAGTATGATTTAAAAAATGAAAATATAAAAGACTTGGCCAGATTTAGAATGTTAAAAAACTGTGGAAATGCACCAAAAGAGTCCATATACTGTATAGCACCAGCTAATTTTTTTTTTAACTGACTAAAAACTGTGGGTTACTCCTGTGACCTTTTTTGTGCTGATGTTTTCTCTGTTTCAGTGATATCTGACATATTTCCTGTAGAAAACAAGAAGTCAGGGTTTAGAATGGCATGGTTAGGCCCTGCTGGTAGGTGTCAAACATCATCTGGCTGCAAGTATCAGCCAGTTCACGTTTCTTAGTTCACATTTAAAATAGATGTGTATTCTGTCCGAATATTAAACATTTTGCAGTCATATTTTATTCATATAAATATAGGGGGAAAAAATACATGGTTACATTTGTTTTCATTATCAATATTTTTTGTCGAGCACCCTGTTTGAGAGTTTTTCCAGTGATGTAATTGCTTTTGTTTTGTTTTGTTTTATTTTGTTTTTGCATTCATAGAAATATATGAAATTAAATGGACTTTTTTGTTGTTGTTGTTGCATTGATGTCACAGCTCAAGGTGAAGGCCTTGTGACTGTGGCACATTTTGTGGTGCTACCAGACAGAAACATTGTCAGCAGGTCGTGACATTACTTTCCACAGCTTTTACAGATCAGGTAAAAAAAAACAGCTGATAACATAAGCAAATAGGACAAATTTCTAATCATATACCTTTAAACTGATCGCTCTCTCCAGTTATTATAGACCTTCTTGCCATAAATGTACTAGATGGGATTATGATTTTAATAGATATAGGCTATTTGCCAGTCTCTGTTGGCTGCAGAGCTTTTTCTTGTAACAAGAATTACCCAATATATTTGTATTTACATAACATTATATGATTTAAAGCAATGCAAAATAAATTGAATAATTTCAAATACCTGTATGTACATATGAAGAGTTTATTTGCAAAAACAGATTTTAAATGTTAAAAAATCACGTTTTTTATCATGTTGTCATGTTTTTATTGTTTTATTGTGTTAGCTGTATTTTTAAGTTCATTTTTAACCTAATCAAAATAACCCAACTGCAGTTTGATTGAGATTAATTGGAATGCACAATGAAAAAACATTATTTTTGTTAAAATAGTTAAAAACGGAGTTATCTGTTTTTGCAAATGAACTCTTCATATGTTGTACATTGAGAACTGTAGTGTGGGTGGGAACTATTTACGCGTGGCGGCGGATGTATTTGTGTGCAGCACCCGCTGCTGCTGCTCTGATTATTGCTGGCGCTTGTCAAAATGAAAAGTGGAAGGCAATGGATTCGTTGTTCTGTTTTTCTGTTTATCTGACATAACATCGCTACGGATGAGCTATTGGTCATACAGATAGGCCGTTTTTTATGAATCTGTAATGTTTATGGATGTCTGCAGTTATCGTCTCACGGCGAGAGATATATAAAGTTTATGTGACAATTTTTCGCTGTGAAAGGTCGCAATGGATCGAGCAGTAAACTCCGACCCTGTCAATACAGACGGCACTGGTAGGATGGTTGTTGACACTTTTTTTTTTTTTTGTATGACAAAATTTTATGA